CCAGATTCTACTCGACGTCAGCTTTCTAATGGTCCTGGAGAAGCCTTCCTAGCGCCAATATTGGTGCAGTTATCTCCTGTCAGGTAAGTGGTTTGGGCCGGCTTCATAGCAAAGGGTTGGGGAGGAGGGGGGGGGGCGCTTTCTTTCTGTATCATATATTATAGAACCGACTTGAATATGATGAGAAATACTATTTATGTGAAAGGTTTCAGAATCTACATATGTGACCTGAGTCACAAGGTCTAATTCTGGTATTGTAGTAGTGCTTGCTTGCGTTCTGGCTGTATCCTGAGTTCTGCCACTAAGGCTCGCTTGCGTTCTGGCTGCATCCTGAGTTGTGGCACCAAGGCTCGCTTGTGTTCTGGCTGTGTCCTGAGTTCTGGCGCCAAGGACCGTTGCGTCCTGAGATTCGGTAGCTGCCGTCTTACGTCCTGATTAACGGTTTGCATCCTGTGCGTCCTGTGCGTCAGACGCACAGGACGCACAGGACGCAAGCTTTTATTTTTGCTGATGAAGTGAGTGCAAATAGAATTCCAGACCTTTGTGTACTACCAGAAAACCTTTTACTTTTACCAATATCAGCAAAGGGTATGAATGAGTTACTCACAGCTAGAGTGAAGGAACATCTTGCTGAAATAGTATTAAGTGACATAAAATATTGTTGCATGACTTTTGCACAACAAGCTGAAGCTGGTAGACTCTATTTTTTTTAAAAAAAAAATCTTAAATTAAGAGAACCTAATATGTATCTAAAACTAACTAATAATTAAATAAATGATAATAGCCAATTTAGATGTTAGTAGATAGATAGTATCTAAAGTTTTATAAGAAAATAAAATTTATTTATTGTTAAAAGCTAACAACTAAGTTAATACTGGTAAGTCCAGCTTAGAAGGAAGTAAGACTCACCTTTTGCTATTAATACCACTACCAGGATTAGTAATATATTATATTTACAGACAGGTCCTACTTTGAGACTAAAAACTTGTACTACTACCAGGTGTATGGTATTTTATAATATGTTGACAAGGCCTACTAACTTTAAAATATATAGTAGAAGTTCCTCCAAGAAGCTACTATTATGTTTTGAAGTGCTATTTTGTATAATCAGGATAGTAAAATTAAGAACTATTTTTTTTTAATTATTATTATTATTATTATTATTATTATTATTATTTTCTGATATACATTAAAGATGATTAGAAATACATTATTATAATAAGAAATAATTTGCCATATTATTTGTCTGCTACACCATATGAGAATAAAAAGTAGTAACTGAAAGCTTTTGCTTTTACTTTAAAGAGAGTATGAGCATCAGGTAGAAGAAAATGCTAACTGTCATGGTCTTGCAGCTGGCTTAGCTTAGAAATTCTTCTTCCCAAACCTTGAACTAAAAGTTTGTAGGATTGATATATAGAAAGAAATCATAGGTTGGTTTATCTGTCATGAATAAATTTTAAAACCTTTTTTTCTATCCATTTTCAGCTCAAACTAAACTTGAGTTTCCCAACTAGGATATTATAATAATGGAGGATAATGCTCTAGTATATAGTATCCACCATTATTATGATACCTAATGGAAAAGGCTGGGCTATAAAAAACTAATATGGCCAGCAAACTCTCTCAACTTAAATCTAGTTGAAACTATTTCGTGTAAGCTTTTAGGTCATTGAATGATTGCAAGGTAAATCTGTACATCCTTGAAGAAATATGTCTTGTCTTGTCTTTATTATTTTTATTTTTATCTAATCTAAACCTACCACTAGTATTTATTATAGGAGTGGAAAAACTATCTCCATTCTCAAGTCAATCGCTATACCAGTACCAGCATAAATTCTGTCTGCATATTTTTATTTTAATTTTATTTCTCTCAAGTTCTCTAGTCCTAGTAAAGAGAGTTGACAATGTTTTAGGATTTTCTGTGCTCAGGTACACTTCAGTCATTATACAAGTATGTCTATTTATATAACTATTATTATTTTAACTAATGCAGATTCCTCCAGTGCATGCCTATGCATGCTAATGCAAGCCTGGTCGTGTTCACAAATGTCATGATATTACATGTACAATACCATTACTTTACCCTACCAACAAACCATACCATTCCTTAGCAATATATGGAGCACTAGATTTCTTGCATGATACCGGTACTCTAACACTCTATAATTCTAGAATTAACAGAATGGGCTGTAGCTATATAGTATGCGTAACGGGGAAAAAAATTAAAACCAAAACGGAATCATTTCATACCATGACGCTCCCCCCCCCCCCTGCTCCTAAGGTCCAAGTTCCAAAACCCGGTTGCTGTACGAGTACTGTACTATCAAACACGAATGACCCACCATCCCTGAACAGGACAGAACAGTACAGTACGGTACTAGTACAGTACACAACGACACGCACGGACCAGCACTCAACCCTTCCAACTAACTTATGATAGAACCGTCCGCACCACCGACCCCTCTTTTCTTTTTCTTTTTTTGTTAAATCCTTCGATTATTTAAGTGTACTAGTACAATCCCCGTATATAATGTAATACAATGACTAGGTGTCAGCACTATTAGCCATCCTACGATATCATGTACAGTACAGTACAGTGCAGTACCGCGATAAATAGTAATAATAATGCTGTAATACCCCAACGCGATCCCCACGTTCACACACACCCCCCCCCCCCAGCTCAAAAAAATAAAACAAAATTGGAATCCATCCTTTCAACTCCAAGCCCACTAGCACCATACTCGAGCACTGTACAGTACAATACTAGTACCGTACAATACGAGTACGGTACAGCACAGCAATATTGTTAGAAACCCCCCACCCCCACTTCCGCACTCACCACTTTCTGGTGCGTCAGAACAAGGATTACCAACTCAATTCTTGATCGAGGAACATGTGAAGGGAGTGTGTGTGAGAAGATGTGGGTGCGGGACACTTTTGCCCGTGGGGTTTTTTATTTATATATATACACTTATTGTAGATTATCCAAGGGGTCTTGCTGAGCTGTTCTCACTTCTTCGTAGCGCTCTCGTTGGGATGGGGGTTCTTCACGGGTGCTTCTAGGGGTGAACGTAGAGTTCCCTGGCCTCTAGTAGAGTAGAGAGAAACGGGCAATGTGGTGGTGGTGTGATATGTGGAACATCACTACGGTTGATATACCAGTACACTGCATGCGCAAAGGAGGTTGGTTGGTTGTAGGGGGAATAGAAAATCCATATAGGCCGACATAGAAGATAAGAAAGTTAATTACATACAACAAGAAAAGAAGGAAAAGGAAAAGAGAATTCAGCTTTAATACAACCCATTCAATCGAGACCCACCCACCCACACTAGTCAAATTATAGTTACTATGCCAAACTACTGATATGACCTCCTCCTAGACCACCTGCGATTATATTCGCCCTCCTCGTCGTAACCTCCACCTCGTTCCTCCCCCTCCCCCTGCCCCTCCTCCACCTTCCACTTCTTCCGCACCCGCCCCCTCCCAACCACCATTCTCTCCTTTCCGAGCCCCTCTGCATCGCCATCCTCCCCACTATCCACAGAAACTGGTCGCGGGCCCCTCTCAACATAACCCTCCTCATCATCCGACGACGATTCCACCCCTACCGCAAAAACAGTGCTGGCCGCACGTGGTCGAACAGACCCCTTTGTAAGAGTTGTGCTCTCTGATTTCATCACTTTCGACCAAGACGCGAGTTTGAAGTCATCGTCCTCTTGCGCTTTGCCGGCTGGCTGGGTCTTGCGCGGTCTACCCCGAGGACGGCTAGTGGTAGCGATTTTTGCATACTTGTGGCAGTCGGGTTTTTTGGTGATTATTACGGCGAAGGACCAGTCGGAGGGTATTAGGCTGGTCAGTGGCGGAGGAGAAGGTGGAGGAGCTGGGGCAGCAGTAGAGGGTTGCTCGAACGAGGGCTGCTCGAGTGAGGGTGTGTGCTTGCTGCTGTTGGCGCTGTCATTGTGGACGCTGCCTTGGAGGGATTGACTTCGTCGTCTTGACCGGACAGAGGAGAGTGCCATTAATGGTGCCGGGGGATTGCCCGTGCGGTTTCTGGCAATGTATTCGCCATCCCCCCGCGCTGCCTTCGGTCGGCGCTGGGGCCCATCGGAGAGTATGTCCTCCACGGATCCCTCAGCGTCATCCTCCAACGGTTCCTCTCCTTGATCCTTGTGCAACGGTGATGGGGGTTGCACGGGGGGGGCTTCATCCTCCCTCTCTTTCTCTTCCAGGAGTATCTTCTTAGGCGGTACGTCGGACCGAACTAGCGTTTCCTCCCATTCCTCGACCCGAACCTGGAGTTTGACAATCAAACTCTTTCGTCTGTTCTTTCCCGCCTGGAGATTTGCGAACCTCTTCCTAGCTAATTTTGCCTTCTTGACCCAGCCCGCTTTCGTTTCAATTGGCTCCGGCGTGGGTGACTTTACGACGCGTTCTACCTCGAGTTTCGCGGGTCCGTTCAGGAATAATGGGAGTGATAATGCTTCGGGAGAGGCGGATGATGGCTGCTGTATAGGAGGAGCGGACGCACCGTCCTCCACCGATAAAAGGCCGGCAGCAATTCTAAATGCCTCTGGGTCCATCTCGAGTTGGGAAAGGTTGTTCGACCGTAAAGCTGAGTTATCAAGACCGGAGTAAAGAGGACTAGCGATAGTATTGTTTTCTAAGCTATGGTTATCAAATAGTGCTAATGAATTATTCTGATCCCGCCCCCTGCTCTCTATAACATTTATAATCCTGCCTCCGCCACCGGGTTCTCCAGTTGAAGGATCGCACTCACGGGCGAGAATAGCTAGCTGCGATGCGAGAAGGTTAACATTGGTACTTCTCTTACCAGAAATGAAAGAAGGATCACCTCCTCTCACTCCAACCGCTGATGGAAAATCGAGGAGGCTAGGATGCTTGCCTTTGATCAACTGTTAACACTTGGGGAGTTTCGAGGGCATTTGAGCCAGGCTACATACCGGGCCCCTCCCAATCTCCGTCTTCCTCATCGTCCATGACATCATCCTCATTGCTGATGCTCTCTCCATCATCAACCTCACCACCGCTGCTGCCACTACCACCAATGTCCGCGTCACTGTCTTCGCCACTGCCGTCCGATCTCTTCCTCTTCTGAGAGGCGCCGTCACCGTCACCGGACGAGGTCGCCCACTTTTTATTGTGCTGGGCAAAGGTGGTCAACCACTCTTCGCTCCTCTGATCGGTGACCGCGCGAGTATTGTAACCAAGCCAAATTGGATTGTTCCGGCGGGCTTTCCTCCCATTTCTACCACTCTTAAGGCAGGCAGCGCATGTGCACTGTTTCAAACAGAAAGGACATCTCCAGTTCATGGATGACAAAATCTAGAAACCGAATTAAAATCAGAATTGACATGCACCGGGAATTTGCCCAGAGGTTACTAACCATGTAAGGGTTCTGGGAGTGTGCTCTCCACAGATAACCGTAACAATAGCGTTTGTTACATCTTTCATTTGAGCACTCGACGTATATGATCGGAGCATGCGGGTTTTTGCAAACATGGCAGTTAGCTTTATTATCCACTTCATCCTGTTGCCGCCGCTGTCAGTCAGATACGCCGCAATCTTGTAAAATCAAGGTGAAGAGGGAAAAGAAGAAAAAGAAAAAAAACTACCTTTGCAGCATCTTTGATCGCCCGTGCCCCCTTTCTTCTCTGTCCAGGATATCTTGTATACAAATCAGATAATATCTGGGAAACCCATGCGCGTGATCTCCTGGTGACATTTTCCGCGCTTGCTAGGTGATCCAACGACTCCTTAGTAGATCTGGCCACACCAACGCGCTTAAAAATAGAAGAAAACTGCTGGCCCTCCACGAGACGGTTAAAGATCTGTCGAAATCTCTCGTGATCGTTCCGAAGAGTAGCCCATGGGTATTGCTGGACCCACTTCGGTGGTGTATCGCACTTGCATCTCCTGCCGAGGGTATAACAATCCATACAAATGTCGTAACAATCGGCATTATCGCCATTGCCGATAGGGCAGGTTGGGCAGGATAGAAAACGGTTAAAGATATTGCCGCTACAGAATGAACAGGTGATCCCAAACTCTGCCCGGACGTCCTCGACTGCCGGCACTGGCAACTCGGGTGAAAAGGCCTCATCCAGCATTATCGCCTCAAAGAGGGGATATAAGGTGAGAAAGTCGCGCACAATGCCTTCATCTTCACTCGATGGGGTTTCGTTGAGCTCGTTTGCGATCTTTAACATAGCCATATATACCATGGTCTTAACCTTATACGCCTCTTCCCGGCATGCAAACTTGCTCATGCTAAGTTCGCCCGAGAGGCAAACCCTGAGGGATTCGGGTGTGCATCTGTTCCACGCCGCTTTTATTGTAAGATCCCCCTGGTTCCAAACTTGATGTGGGCTGGCCGGCGGAATAATGAGAAAGTCGCCAACCCTCTGTTCCACTATCCACACGTCGACCGGAGCTTTCTTCCAATCCTCAATGGAAGCAAAGTAGTTCTCCAATTCGAGGTCCTGTCCCAGAACACTCCTAAACCACACAGCCAATTTTGCGCGGTCGTTGGGTTTTACCAAAAACCAGATCGATTTTCCATTCTCAGAGGCCGAAACCATGATATTTTGCCCAATGGATGAGCACATTTCCTTGTGACAAGGAGTAAATGTTCCCTCATGACCAACGTAGCACATCATGTTTACAGCCCGCAATTCCTCGGGCAGCGCTGCCATGAGATCCGCATTTTCGTCAAGATAGAAAGTTCCTCTTGGCAAGATATCCCCCAAATTTTTCATCCATATCGATGGACAATCCATATCCTTGAGATAAAGTCGCTGGCGTTTGAAGCTTTTGTAATTCTCCGAGTTAAATTTGGATGCCAATATCCCACATTTACTGAGGTACCAGCCGAGTGACCACTCATCATCGGTACCCTTGACAAGGTCCCGGATCTGCACGCCTGTGAGAAATCGTTAGCCAAGAATTTACAAGAATTTCTAGGGGAGGGCGGTGATAGGAAAGAGAGCGGGAACTGGAACTTACGTTGCCTCCCCAGATTATTGTCTAACCACTCGTCCTTGAAAATATGACCGGGCCATCTACTCTTCAGATGCCAATTTTCAATGACCAGTGGCTCACCAATCTGTAGCACCTGCGAGCGATAAATCTCATCGAATTGTTCCGCAGTATCAGGCGTAAGTGTGCGAGCGTCGACCCGGGTGGCCAGGTGGAAATGCGAGCCAGGCTCTTCAGCCAGCTGCTTTACATCGAAGCCCGGCGGAATCGGGGTAAACACGGGGACCCCAATAGCCGACATTGATCGAAGCAGGAACCCAGGGAGCTCCAATAACTCTGCCGATTATCGTTGTGAAGGTCGGACAAACGAATGAGTCGGGGAGGAAGAAAAGGGTTGGTGTTGGTAAGTGGAAGGGAAGGAAAGCCGTCGACAAGCGAAAGGGAGAGAGGAAGAGAGAGAGAGAGAGAGAGAGAGAGAAAGGTGTAGACAGGTGAGGAGGGAAAGGAGGGTGTTGACGAGTGAGC